TCTTATGTTTAAGTCTTTAATCCATCTGGAGTTAATTTTAGTGTAAGGTGTCAGGAAGGGGTCCAGTTTCTGCTTTCTGCACATGGCTAGCCAGCTTTCCCAACACCATTTATTGAACAAGGAATCCTTTCCCCATTGCTTGTCTTTGTCTGGTTTGTCAAAGATCAATTTTTAACTTTTGCAAATCATCATCTCTTTGGTTCTCTGACAACTCACATTATGGCTTTTCTCAAATGACTGTTGGATAAGAGATGATTTAAAATCAATATTCCAAAGTGTTTCAGCTTTAATATAGCACCTTCTTTTGGAATGTGTATAGGATTCTACAACAAAACATGAAGATTGATAAGGAATCCTTGAGGTAGAAAGAAGATAGCATTCATTTTCTTTCTCACTGACTTTTTAAAATAAAAATTTATTGAAACAGATTACATAATTATATAAGCAAATGTATGATTTTATTCTACAATGTGTGACTATTTCTATTCTACTTATACTAAAAAATTAGAAAGATACAAATTAGAGATATGAACAAGTATAATTTTGTAGATTAACATGATACATTTTAATTTCCATTATTTTCTAATTATAAAGTGAATGAATGCTTTTTTAGAAAATACAGAAAATATTGAAAACATGAAGTCATTTACAAAAATAATCAGAATAATTGTCAACAAATCCTACTATGCAGAGGTAATACTTTAAAAATTCTGGTACATGAATTCTATCATATCCACAGGCACGTGACTGTGGCTGTTACAGAAAATTAATTTCATATTAGAAACTGTATGTATATGATTGCATAGTATTACTTTAATGTTCACATTTTATAATGAATAGGGACACTTAAAAATATACTTTTTGAAAGTATGTCCCTAAGATGTGTCATCTTTTACTTATGCCTCCCTTTTTTGTTGGACATTTGTGATGGTTCATTTCACTGTCACAAAAATTTCTTAAACTACCTCATCATGTTGATACATTTCTACAAGAGAAAATACATGGCCAGAAAGAATAAAAAATGTAAACCACTTAACATATTGCCAAAATTGCTCTCTCTAAAACATATAATTTTTATATGTTTTTAATCTTACCACATTCATTGTAGAAGAGTTCCCATTTTTCCACATATACGCCTAACATTATTTATTATCTGTTTTTTCACAATTTGGTAGGTTAATTTTTAGCATTTAATATTTACATAATTGACATTAGTGTAGTAGAACCTTTTTTTGCAGTTTATGTTACTGGATTTCTTATTTTGAAATGCAGCATATAAACAGTCTTTGAGGTCATCAATAATAACATTATTCATTATGTTTTCTTACATTGCTTTTACTTTAAAAATGCCTTTCTCAACCTGTGTATAGGAAACATGTACTATGTTTTAATGATTTTCTCTATAGGTTTATTTTTACATTTAATTCTTTTTGTTGTTGTTGTTGTTGTTGTTTTTGATTTTTGGAGACAGTCTAACTCTGTTGCCCAGGCTGGAGTGCAGTGGTGCAATCTTGGCTCACTGCAGCCTCCGCTTCCCGGATTCAAGCAATTCTTCTGCCTCAGCCTTCCAGGTAGCTGGGACTACAGGTGCACACCACCCCACCTGGCTAATTTTTTGTATTTTAGTAGAGATGGGTTTTACTGTTTTGTCCAGGCTGGTCTCGAACTACTGAGCCCAGACAATTCAGCCGCCTCAGCCTCCCAAAGTGCTGGGATTACAGGCATGAGCCACCACGCCCAGCCTTAATTCTTAATCTATCTAAAACATACTTTAGCACATCCATATAAAATAGAGAACTAACTGATTTTTTTCCTGCTAAAATATTACAGTTCTCTCTGATAATTTACTTGATACTAATGTAAAATTTTAATATATCCAGGTCATTTTTGTGTTTTCTATATTCTGCTCAAAGATTCACTCTTTATTACAATGTAAGAAGCATATTTTCAAATACTATAATAGTTCACAATATATTTTAAGTTTTATAAAAAAGTGTTCTTGCTCCAACCACTAAACTCCACATCTACTAAAAAAGAATTGTCATGGTTTTCCTTTTCCATTTTTATTTGAAATGAGATTTTTGCATCTCTCTCTCTTCCCTGAACACAAATATATGGTATTTTGACCAGAATTATGTGAATCTATGAATCAATCTGGAAATAGTTGAAATATCTATACATTTTTCAAAAGGAAGTATTATGAAAAATATTGGCACAGAGCTCCATTGACATCAATCCTTCCTATGTCCTCTTTAAAGAAACACCATGTGTTCTCACTCATAGGTGGGTGTTGAACAACAAGAACACATGGACTCGGGGAGAGGAACATCACACACTGGGGGCAGTTTGCGGGTAGGGGAGAGACAGTAAGGGGTGGGGAGGGATAACATGGGGAGAAATGCCAGATATAGTGTGCACCTAAAGTAAAATAAACAAATTTTTTAAAAAAGATTAGTTCATTTGATTCATTTTAAAATTCTAATACAGATATGATAATGCATGTGTATGAATGTCCATATTTATAGGCATCAATATTTTGATTATATCCATTATTTTCAGGAGAATAATTTTTTTTAAATTTCTATTTCAAAAATAATTTTTGCACGACACAGTATTTATCTTCTCTTTTTTAACAGTTACATTTCTTATTTATTACCCCTCTACGTACTATGAGGAAATCTTCTAGAATGCCGTTAAATGACTATGATGATTTAAAAGAACGTTTTTTGTTCCTAACTTTAATTAGACTAACTACTGTATTTTGGTCCACTTCATTTATTTATTCAACAAAAATATATTGTGTACCTACACTAGAATGTGGTAACACTGGACTCTGCTATTTTTAAACTAGTAAAACACTCTTATTTATCACAATTATAATATAGCTTTATTTATAAAAATTAATAATTATCAGAACAGACACTAAATTTACTGAATAAATCTTTAGCTTTTTTTTATTTTGCTGAGGAATATCTTTTTTCCTATACTTTGGTTTTGATTTATGAATTTTATATATATTGTTTTGTAATATTAAATCTTATTTGTATTTCTGGAATAAATTATGATTTTTCTTTATTATATTCTTTTCCAGCTCAGCTCATATTCAGCTTACTTTGATTTATAATTTATAATTATCTCTTAAATAGTAAGAGGGCTCAGTATTAACTTTGTTATTAGTTGAGTTTACTAATTCATCTTTTTCTAGCTCTAAAATTATTATAATATAGAAATAGTTTTCCCTTGAAATGTACAAAATATTCCTGAAAATTTGCCCTCATATAGCCCCTTTTGGATATAACACTGAGAAAAAATTATAAATTTTATTCAGGGTTTTTTTTTTATGTCTTTGAAGCAGAATGTTATACTATAGTTTTCTACAAAATCCACATTTCATTAAAAGTTAAGCATGTATAACAAATTGTTTAATCATTATTCTTAAACATCTTTTCTAGTCATATATTTGTTCATTCAATTACTATAGAGCACTGCACTACAAACAATAAATAAGGGATGTGAGCTCCTTTAGTCCATATTCTTATAATACAGAGTAAAATTGTTAGATCATTGGGTATAATTTTTCCTTAATATTTTAAATACCAGCCGTGCACAGTGGCTCATGCCTGTAATCCCAACACTTTGGGAGGCTGAGGCGGGTGGATCACGAGGTCAGGAGATGGAGATCAGCCTGATTAACATGGTGAAACCCCGTCTCTACTACAAAAATTACCTGGGCATGGTGGCGCGCTCCTGTAATCCCGGCTACTTAGCAGGCTGAGCCAGGAGATTTGCTTGAACCCAGGAGGCGGAGGTTGCAGTGAGCTGAGAGGCGCCAACGCACTCCAGCCTGTCAACTGAGACTCTGTCTCAAAAAAAAAAAAAAAAAAAAGATTGCAAATGCCTTAAAGTTCTGGTTTTTTCAATTTATTCTTGTTTATAATGGCAAAGATCTATAGACTTATTGATTTTTTTTTTCAAAGAACTAGTGGAGAATTACTTTCAGATTAAAGGAAATTATATCAATGTTCTGCATCCCAGGGTATAATACTACCAATGTCTGAGCGAATTTCTCCACCGATACTCTCTGATATTGTGTAATTTTACCTTATCAGTTACCTTTCACTTTTTTATGTAGTCAAATTATTTCTTTGATCTGGATCAGAGGGCAGCAAACTATTTCTGCAAATAAGAAGACAGTCAATATTTTAGGCTTTATGGGCCATATGGTCTCTGTTACAACTACTTTGTCACTATAGTGCAAAGCACTATAGAAAATATGTAAAGGATGGGTTCATCTGTGTCCCAGTAAAACCTATGTACAAAAGGTGGTGGCAGGCTGGATTTAGCTCATGTCTTCGAGTTTGCTGACCTTTATCTATGTCATTTTTATAGGCTTTTAAACATACTTGAGTATTACCACTCAAGAAAGGAAGAGAGAGAGAGAGAGAAAATTTTCTTACAACTTTCAATCCTTCCCCATTACTACCCTATCTTATACTTTCCTTTCATAGAAGATCTTTACAAAAGATTCTTCCCCGGTCTACTTTTCTGGATCAATCACTAAATTCTTCAGTCACCGTCATGTGTTGTTACAGCTGACTGTGCCATCCAAACAGCTCTTGCTAAGCTTGCCACCAAATTTTATTATCGCCAAATTCTATAATTTTTTTAAAAAAATATTGGCTTTACTTTGATATTTCAATAATATTTAACAGTTGGCCTTTTCTTTCTCTAAATGTTTTCCTCCCTTGACTTCTATACATTGGTTCATTCATTTTTCATTTAATCATGTATCTTTTCCATATCTTTGTAAGCTTAAATTCCTCTACCCGAGTTTTATGATTTTCTTATGGCTACATCTTTGTAGTCTTCCCTTATTCCACTATATTTTCTCTCTGTCTCTCTCTCACCCTCTCTCTCTGGTCTCATTTACATACACAGAATACATTACCATTTATTCACTAAAAATAAACGTTATTTCTCTATTGCTTGACCTCTTCTCTGAGTTTCCCACGTGTAAATGTATACCAACTTCTTATCTGACACCGGAATTCAGATAACTGAGACACCTTAAAAAGATGTTTTCTCCAGATCTTTTCTCCATATGTTTTTCTTCTTATGTTTCTTGTTTTGTGAATGAAGGTATCCCTTCTGGCAAGTCAGAATCTCAGGAATTCTCTTTAAACCCATCCCCACCCTCATATTCCATAAGTGATCTATCTTGGGGTCTTATTTATTTTATCTCCTAAATATATCTTGAATTCATTCATGTCTCTCCATGTTTACTAGTGACAATTTTTGTCCTATTTAGTCTCCTTAACTCTTGTTCTATTGGATTTCTTTCTATAATACAGGTGAGGTGCAGCTTTCAAAGCAAAAGTGGATCATGTTACATCCTTCTTTATTTATTTAAAGCAATTTGATGGAGTCCTATTTTTCATAGAATGAGAACCGAAATATAAGCTAAATAAAAAAACCCCGAATGCCCTGCCTTCACAGAATTTCGCATAACACTCTCTTTGCTCTACAATCTCCATTCATGGATGACTCTACTCTCAGCACTGGCTTTATTTTTGTTTTCTTCTTAATTGTCATTCTACCAACTTTGACAATGTGTTGGTGTAAGTCTAGCCCTAGATTACTATTCACATCCATATAATGAATTCCCATTCACCAGCTCCTCAGGAAGCCATTGCAAAAATCCTTGTATGGTCAAACCACCTTGTTTTACTCTTGCTCACCGCCATCTAACGCGTTATATGAGATGTACCTAAGTTGAGTTCATTTCTTCTTTTTCATAATTATTTGATTAATGTTTGCCAAACCTACTTAATCTAATTTACCCAACAGAAAGTAACATATGACTTTTTTTTTGTTGGATTTTTTAATTACAGTGCCTCACTCCATGTCTTGTATATAATAAAAGCTTAATAAATACTTACCAAAAGAATAAATGATTGCATTCCCAAATTTTACTTTTGAAAAAATTTTCTGACTTTTAAAGATATTAGATCTCTTCTTTAAAAAGCTTCTTTTTAAATTTTTATTTCAAAATATTGATACATTTATTTCGCTATAGTTCGAAGCTATAGATTAACTTTACAGTACTGTATAGAGTTTTGTGTGGCCCAGTTTTTTAATATATATTTTTCTCTCATACTTTTGTTCACTAATATGCCATTTTATTATATGTTTATGTTGAAAATAATAAAATACATACGAGCCAAGTTCTAAAAATTTATATCTTTTATGATCATTTTTCTAGAACAATTGTGTATGCATTTTTATCACACAAAAATAATAATGTAAGCAAATTGTTTATAATTTGACATGTTTGCTTACTGTCTTGTGAACACGTTTATATATCAGTAAACATTCTTCTACACATATTTTTAGCTAGTGAATAATATTACTTTATTATACATGGGTTCCAGTTCTATTTTGGTAGTGCTTTCAACATTTTCAGGATAAGCAAATTTAGGATGATACTGTTTGCACTTATGTCATTTCCAATATACTTAATGATTAACAATTTATCTATTGTTAATTGAGTAATAGCTCAATTTATTTTATCACCTCAACATTTAAATTTTTTACAGTGATTTGTTCTAATTGAAATCAAATGATATTTTATTGTTCTATTAATATTCACCACCACTGTGATTACTAGTGATACATGCAATTTCTTACATTTGTTTGGCCTTTGTACATTTTAATTTCTGTATTTTATGTTCATTTTCTTTGCCTGTTTATAATTTTATTAACTTATAATAGGTTTCAAGTAGTTTATTAATCCTTTAGCTTCTATAAACATTGAAAATTGTTTTTCTCAAAGCTTGCTATTTGGCCCTTAATTATTTTAGGTGGCATTTGATTGTAACATTAGAAAATTAATTTCATATATAAATTACTCTATATTTTATTTTATTGTTTCTGCCTTTATTGTATGGTACAATGGTTCTCTTGAAAATAGTAAACAATTATTCAGTTTATTTTCTTCTAATAGTCTCATGTTTTTTATTTGCATTAATTCAACTGACTAACTTTTTATTGTCACACATTTTACCTAGCTCCCCAAATTCATGTCATTTAATTACAACTACAAAATTTTACATTTAAATTGTAAATCATTAAGTAGTTACTTATGGATACATACATTAACATTTTATGCATTATATTTATATGTTATGTGTATGGACTATGTATTCATATATACATTTTCATATATACAAATATATATGAAAATACATGTGCTTTTATTAAAATTTTTATTTTGCTGGTGCTTTTGGCATACTGCTTAGTTAATCTAAAAGGTTAAATTATGTTTAATTATTCTTGTTTAAAAATATATTTTGACTTATTTTCATCACGTTTCTATATTTAGTTATAAAATGATATATATACATATATAAAATTATATATAATTATACTGATAAGAGTGGTTCTTTCCCACTATCTTGTTTTCTATTGCCTTTTATCCTCTCCAGAACAATATTCTAGAAATAAGTCATTGTTAACTCTTTGTTCTGTATTCTTCTGGATACTTTCTGTGCTTATATAAATGAATATTTTCTTCTCAAAAAATATTATACTAGCTATACTGATCTAAATTCTGTTTGTATGCTTCTGGAATTATTTGTTTCACACAATACATCTTGGACATTTTCTCATTATAGTAAATAAAGATCTACCTCTTTGTTTTTAATTTATTAAAATGATTCTCTAATGGTAGACAAGTGAGATGTTTAGGATATTGGGATGAACTTTAGAATTATTATGTCAGTACTCTAATAAAGTGTCTTTGATACATTTAATTGGAATTGCGTTATTCTTTTAATAATCTGGAGTGAACGATTATCTTTTAAATTCTAGATCTTTCATATTGAGATATGATAAAGCCCTATTTAATTATGTTAATTTTTATTTATAAGTCAAGTGTGCAGGAGAATACTACAATGTTATAAATACAGGAGAAAATTTATTTTTAAATATATTACAGATTATTTTATGATTTTTGGTTCTAATATGAATATAATGTTTTCTTTTTAAATATTTTCTTATTTTTGATCTTCTTTAATGCAGATTTTTTTGCTTGTGTAGTTGTGTTTTTAATGCACTTATTACAACCAGAAACAATATGCCAAATATTAATTCCAATTGTGCTTACTTTTTAAGCTTAATAAATAATACATTTTTATTATTTCACATTATTACCTGAACACCATCCATTGTTCAAATTCACATTATTATATTTTTTAATCAAACTCCTGAAATGATGTTGATTAATTAGGAAGCTATGAGAATGCTCAAGCACTTTCTCCTCTCTCACCTCCACAATAATTCAGAGGAGAAAAAGCATTACTGTGGATGATTTAGTCCAAGAACATGGAATATTCAAAGTGATGGAAGAATGTTTACAACTGGTAATAAGACCCTTCTGCCGGAAGAGAATGCAGTAAAGGGTCCTGGCAGCTATCCTCAATTGAGAGTGTCTTTATTCTGGGCAAGTAGACTTAGACATGCTGCTCTAAGCTATAAAGAGAAATACCATTTTTTTCTCCTTTTGTATCCCCCGTTGGGCTCCACTAGAACTTATAATTTCTGGAGTGACAAGAACAAGAAAGTCAAAATAAGCATATGCTTTAAGGGCACATTTTTAGGAAGGTACTCTGCTAAAATTGGACCATGGGTTGCATTTAATCAAGCCTAGGCAAACTCATATGCTTTCCAGAGCAGGAGAGGTAAGTAACATAGATGACACACAAAGCAACATATATACATAAAGATTATCAACTAGTAAGGACTATGGAAACTTATAGCTTGCATAATGTCTATGAAAGCATTCAGAATTTTAACACTATGGTGGACAAATAAAATAGGTTTAGTTGTAAGCTTTTTTGTGGTTCATCTAGTTAGAATGACTGACTCTGTACTTCAAATAATTGACAGCAGTCTTTGTGATTCACATGTTGTTCATTCCAGTTTAGCAAACATAGAGTGAGGAACTAAAGTCATTGCAGAACTAAGCAGCTAATGAAGCTTATTTTGAATTCTTTATTCCTATCATACCTTCATATCTTTGCATCTCAGAGACAAGATTAACGTCTGGTATAGCTGGGCAGGGTCAGGTAAGTGTGTAGAGAACTGGGACCAGGAAAATGTGACCTCAGGGACTTGTAATTGCTAAGGCAATTCTTCTTCCCATTGACACATTTCTAGACAAAACAAAACAAACAAACAAAACTCCTGAAGTAGGAAAGCATCTATTAAAGGATTTCTCAACTCCTACACTATTGATATTTTGGACCTGGCAGTTGGTGGACGTTGGGGTTGGTCCTGAGCATGGGGTAAACATGACTGGCCTCTATGCATAGATACCAACATTAGTGTCCACATGCAGTTGTGACAACCAGCAGTGTCTCCAGGAGAAGCAAAAGCAAAATCACTCGTGGTTGAGGATTACTAACGTAGTGCACAAAACCTGGTCTTAAAGAGGCTAAAAGTACATTTCTACAGCCAAGGAAAGTTCACTTGCAATCCTGAAACTTCAGGAGTTGGATGTCATATGTGGAGAGCAAGGAGTAAGCTATGTAAAGATTGGTAGGTATCTCTAAAGTAAACTGACACTAACTTCTAAATTGAGAGGATTTCTGTGTGCAGGCATTTAACCAAGTGGCATTAGGATTTTGTTGATTACATGGATGATATGCTTCCCGTATTGAGCTTGAAGGACTGACAGGTTAACAGATAAAACAATAAGAGTCCTGTGACAGTGTGAGAAAAATAGGTTGTTGCCACCATAGTAGTCCTATAGACCTAAACAATTTTGGACATGGTAGAGCAATGTTAGGAGAAAATGTAAGTACATGGTAGCGAAAATACACTATCCCACACGGTCTCTGAGTAATTGGCTGTGGGAAACACAGAGTACCCACCAGGCCTAAGAATATTTAATGTTTAGTTAGGCCTCAGTGTATTTGGGACTATTATTTTGCTTGTTTGACTATTATATGTATAAGAAGGGAAGAGATCCTAATAAGAGAGTGTCTGAACTCAGTTTAACAATGGGAGTCCTGCAAAGGAGGATTCAAGGGAGAAACTGAAAAGCAAATAAATGGTTTTGAACACACCAAATGAAAATGTGCAGGAGGAAACTAGCCTCAGGGAAAAAATTTGGAGTCTGGCAGAGACATTTCTGCAATTTTCTACAATCGCTGAAAAGACAGTTTTTTTAGATGACATGCTCTACTAGAGGAAGCAATTTTCACGGATGGTAGAATTTTCCTCTATTATATGGGAGAGATATGGTTAAACTCTTGATGAAAGATTTCTTCCAATTGAGTTTAAGGCTCACAGGTAATGAAATCTGAACAAATCTGAACAAATGCCATAGACTGACATGGAGAGGCTGAAATTAAAGAGAAAATAATATTTTTTTCTTCTCTCTTTAGAAACATTATGAAGCCTAAAAGACCTGGGCTCAGACACTGGCTTTGCCATGTTTAGCTCTTGGATCACAGGCAGACTATGTAGCTATGCCAATCTGTATTTATTGCTCTAAGATAATGATTCTCTTATTATTTTATAGGATGATTTGAAGATATCATAACATCACATAGAAAAGGACATTACATAGTCTGACACATAGTGAGTGCTTTTAACAAATGATAGCTATTATTGTAGTATTGTTATTCTGCTTGTAATGTCCTACCCCAGATATCACTAATTTTTGGTGATGACTATTACTGGTATCAGCAATTGGAGCCTAGAATAGAATATGTGGTGTGCCTTTTGGATATGCTATTGTATTAGATAAATAAGATTATATATTATAATCATATACATATATATAATTATATACAAATCCATATATACACAGACATGGTGTGTGTGCATGTATGTATGTATCCAGGCATAAATATATATATATAGTATTGTGGGTGGGTGTGTGAACATAGATGTAGACTTCGACTTAATATTTGTCTTCTTTAATTCTTGAAACTGTAGAAAAATGTGGCACAAGAAAGATGTGGAAGAAAATTCTTATTGTAGAATCCAATGAAACAATATCAAAACTACAACCAGAACTTAAAGGAAATTTGCATCAGTGTATTCCTATATTAGAAAAAAAAATTTCCAATCCATGACCTTAGCTTCTACCTTAATACACCAAAAAAAGAAGAGCAAATTAAACACAAGGTAAGCAGAAGAATAATTAATAAAATTCACAGTTGAAATCAACAAAATAAAAAGCAAACAATAAAGAAAATTAATGAAACTAAAAGCTGATTAAGAAAAGCAATACAATTGATAAAATTCTAGTCAAATTGATTGACAAAAAATGAGCAAATATACAAATTACCAATGTCAGGAGTAAGAGAGGAAAGATCACAAATCCTAAATATATTAAAAGCATAGTAAAAGAATATAATAAGCATCTTTTTTCAGGATTACTTTGATAATTTGGGTGTAATTTATAAATTTTTTATATACATAAACTGTCAAAATTTACTTTAAAAGAAATAGACAACCTGAAGATCTTTATATCCATTTTAAAAATTAAATATGTACTTGCAAACTTACCCACACAAAAATCTAGGTGTAGGTGGCAACACTGGTTAGTTCTACCAAACACTAAAGGAAGAAATAATATAAACTATGTAAGTTGAAGGGGCTTGAAAAAAAATTGAAGAGGAGGAAACACATTCCAACTCATTCAGGAAGACCATCATTGTATCATTATACTGTTGCAGAAGCAGACAAAATACAAGAAAGAAAACTACAGGCAAGTACACTTCATAAACATTTGTGTACGATTCTGTACACATTTTATATGTCATACCCCAAAATCATTACCAAATAAACTGCATCCCAGGAATGCAAGGTCAGTATGTAATTCATTACATAATTAACATATTATCATCTCAGTACATGCAGACAAAGCAGTTGAGAAAATTTAACATATAATTCTAATAATAATTCAGCAACATAGGAAGAGCAGGGAACTTCTTCAACCTGCCAAAAACCATCTGTAAAAAGGTGATTACTAACATCACACATAATGAAGACAAATGAACGTTTTCACCCTGAAATCAGGAACAAGACAAAAGTATCTATTTTCATCACTTATTTGACATTGCACAATAGTTCTAGCAAGTGCGATAATTCAAGAAAAAGAAATTAAAAGACAGAGATTGGAGAAAAATGTAAAACAATTTGTGTTAAAGCCATCTATGTGGAAAATATAATTGAATCTTTTAAGAAAACTACTAAAATATGTGAGTTTAGCAAGCTTATACAGTACAAGAATATTACCAAAAATCAGCTATATATCTATATTAGTAGCAATCAAAAATATTTAAAAATAATTCAATTCACAGTATAAAAATATGAAGTACTTAGAGATGAATCTGACTGAAATAGCCAAGACCTGCACTCTGAAAACCACAAAATACAGCTGAGATAAAGAAGACGTAAGTATTGAGTGACATGATTGGAAGACAGTATTGTTGGCATGTCACTTATCTCTAGATTGATTTATAGATTCAACATGATCCTAACCAAAGTCTAAAGCAGCCTCTTTTTTTTAAGTGGAAATTGACACATTTTTAAATATTAAAATTCATAAGATGCAAAAGACCTAGAATAGCCAAAACAAATATGTAAAAAAAAAAAAAAAGATGGAATGTTAACACTATCTTATTTCAAGACTTACAAAACATTGGTATGTAAAACAATGTGGAATTGACATTAACATAGACAAACAGATAAATGAAACAGAGAATCCAAAAATAGCCCACACATATATGAACAA